AGACCAACTGACACAGTGCTTGATGCTCCTTTAAATAATATTTCTTTCCACTCTATTGATAATGTGCTACCAAAGAAGAGTTGCTCTTGAGAGAGAGTTGGGCAAGGATGCTTTTGAGATAAAGGAGGTCATGGAGTTAATTTCTGATGCTGGGCTAATGAAGATTGTGGCTGGTTTTTCTAAGTGATATGATATGTTGGTCAAGGAGTTCATTGTGAACATCCCTGAGGACATTGCTGACAGAAGAAGTAAGGAGTTTAGTAAGGTGTTTGTGAGGGGGAGATGTATTGAGTTTTCTGCTGCTGTTTTTAACAGGTATCTAGGAAGGGGTGAGCAAGAAGTAAGTGAACTTGAGGTGACTGGTAATCAAGTGTGCAAGGTGATCATTGCAAACTAAGTAACCGCATGGCCCTTGAAAGGAAAATTGTCTCAGAGTTGAAGGAAACTTGCAGAGATTTGGGAGAAGTCATTCATGTAACTACTGCAAGCATGGTTGTCAAACTCGCGGGTAGACTCGTAAACTCGTACGAGTTTACGATTCTAGGAAGCATAAACGAGTAGACTCATACATAGAATCTTTTTTTGATAGACTCGAGTAAACTCGGGTAGACTCGCACAAACTCGTACAGAATCGCGAGTCTATAATGAGTTTACGAGTCCATAAGTTTTTTTTTGAATTTTTTTAAAACTAAAAAAGACCTAAATTCCCCAAAATATTTTATTTTATTTAAAAAGCACCCTTATTTTTGTTCTTGTATAATAATTAGAAAGTATCTCTCTCTTCATCAACGACGTGAGTTTATTTTGTCTCTTTCTTTGTTCATCTTCATGGACCTAAATTAATCCTTTATTTTGTAAGTATTTTCTTATATGATTCAATTTGATGCTTCTCATGTATGATATCTTGTGTAAAGGTGGTGCACCATTGTCCAATCAGGTCCAATGATCCCAATACACATGTATCAATTTGCATGTGACAAAATAGTTTAGAAAGTTTATGATTTATGGCAGAAAATAGTTTATGAAGGATATGTTACCCACTGAAGAGTGAGTTTCTACGGAGATATGACTCTATAATTAAAGAGGTTTGTAATTTGTGTTCTAAGCTTAACCCATAGCTCTTCTAGTTGTGAACATAATTGGAATTTCTTTGAAATGGCAATGAATTATTATTTGTTTGTTTATAGACTTGATTTTAATATTTTTAGAAACATTGAGTTAAATTATTATTTACTTTTTAGGTTCATAAAAAGAGAAGAAATATGTTGCATCAAAAAGAGGTGAATAATTTGGTTTATGTCATGTAGAATTTAAAGTTGAATAATAGAAAAGGAAAATCAAATAGTGTTGTTATTTCATTTGTGTCATATATGAGGCATTTATAAGTTTAAGAACACAGGAGTCTGTCATATATGTGTAAACTATAGGTTATAAATGTCATTTTTAATTTTCCATAGACTCGTACAAGTTTGCGAGTCGAGTCTGCGAGTCGAGTCTACAGACCTTAAACGAGTCTGAGTAGACTCGCAAGTTTGACAACCTTGACTGCAAGGAAACTGAAATTGGAAGCCTTGATTAGAAGTCTAGAGCAGGCTGAAGGTAATGATGTTGAGGTTGCTAATGTAGATGAAGAGGAAGCTGGGGAGGATTCTACCTTTGATGAGAGGACTAATGATATTGAGGGTCATGATTCTGGGACTACTACTGGTGATGAAGGTGACAACTTTGGTTTTTATTTTAGCACTTAATGTGCTTTGAATTGTAATTTTTTTGTGGTTTCATTCTGCACTCTTGACACTGTTGACTCTGTATGCTTAGTCTCTGCTTGTTCTATGATAATGGTTTTCTCTTAGTGAGATTTCTTTAATTATGGCTAAAAAGGGGAGAAGTAGTATGAGGGATGTTGTGCTGTTGCTGCTGTTTCTGGGTTGAGGGGGAGTATTCTTTTCTGGTGTTGTGGTATGGTTCTCTGGCAATTTGGTTTGAGGGGGAGCTTTATTTTTCTTTGTGACATGTTAGGATTTTCTGTGTTTTTCTGCTGCTGTTGTGCTCTCTGATGTGTTCTGGTAGCTCTTGCGATTAATTGGTTGTTTTAGCCAAAATTTACCAAAGGGGGAGTTTGTTAGTTCTGTGACTGACAACAATTTTGGTAAAAATTGGTGTTATCACAAGATGCCCTATATGATGTCTTGACATGTGATCTTAACATTCTGCAGGTGGTTCTTTTTGTTGTTGCAGGGTTCAGTTCATGATGTCAAGTATGATGTCTTGACATATGTTTACAGAATATTTAGTCAGAATGTTATGTTTTGTCTCTTGCGTTTTTTTTGCAATCTTTTGTGTGCCTTTGTTAAGTGATTGCTTGGCACAAATTAAGGCGTGACATTATTTGAAGCAAGTATATTATGTTTCCTTTTGAAGAATGGTTTGTTGCTATTTTTGTGCAAAAAGATATGGAGAATAATTAGCTTTAATTATGGATTACTTTTGCCCAAGCCCATGGAGAATGGTTTCTATTTAAAGACGTGCTAACCCTACTCGCAATGTAGAAAGAAGGTTTTGAGAAAGCTGCGTTTTGTCTTTTGTTAGGGTTTGAGTCTTTTGTTAGTTGTTTTCTTGTGAGCCATTCATTCATCACTTTGATGTGTGAATTGGACTGAGTTCTTTGAGTTGTAAGTTGTCCACTCTAAGCTTTTAAGCACGAGTGCATTGTTTTTTATTGAAGCTTTTAAGTAAGATCAAGTGTTGTCCTTGAAGTGCGTCTTCTACTTTTTGATCTTCTGTTTTTATCACTGCATGTGATTGAGGGGGAGTGAGAGATGTCTCATATCTGAGAGTGTCTTGGATAAGAGTTACACGGGTAGAGATTAGGTGCGAAGATTGTAAACTAGATAGAGTTTGCTGAGAGTCTTCAAACTAATTTTGTTTAGTGAATTTCCTTCCTAGCTTGGTAGCCCCCAGACGTAGGTGTGTTTGCACCAAACTGGGTTAACAATTGTTTGTGTCTCTTTACAATTGTTAATTGTATTTTATCTTGTTCATACATTGGTAATTGTTTAGATATTAGTATCGTGACATCTCTTTCGACATCTCATATTTGATATCATAATTTCACCCATATGTTCTGATCTGACCTAATCAGAAGGGGATCACTAGCTGGCCACACTCTGTTGGGCTGCTACATGTTCACCGGTGTTGAAGAAGAGGAGGGGGTGTACCTGTAAGACACTCTGATGCCAAAGTAAGGAATTGGGCAGAGTGACAGCAAATACAGAAAGAGGGTAAGAAGAGAATTACCTGGCCCTCTTGTGAAAGAGGGTATTTATAGAGAGACCCCAACGCTGGGCCAACGGTCACTTGTGTTGGGCTGGATTGCCAAGCCCAACCCAGGTGACTGCTAGGGCTTACGTGGCGTAGTGAAGACCAGGACGTGGTCTTCGCCCTAGTCCAACTGTCCTGTGATCTCTGAAAAGTGGGTTTGACCTGCTCTTTCGGAGGTGGGCAGCTGGTCGGTGACGTGCTCCCCGCAGAGGGGAGCACGTGGAGAACGTGTGAAGGACACATCGTCCTGCTCGACAGGGGAGCGGGTTCTACCCGCAGAGGGGCAGGTCCTGCCCGCGGAGAGGGCAGTGTCTGGTGATGGGAGAGTCTTACGCTCGATATAGATGGGCAGGTTCTGCCCGCGGAGGGGCATTCCCTGTCTGTCGGGGACCTTGTGCTCGGAGGCCGCGACCCAAGTTAGACTGGGCTTGGCGGGATATTATTGGGCTGGGCCTGCCTGGCCAAGCCGGGGCCCAGGTCAGAACATGTTCTTTCTATTAACCTTCTTACAAAAAAGGTTTGTTGCTGCTATCATCAACAAACCATTGTTGATTTTAAGATTTTATCGAGAGAGATAATCTCTATTTCCTCATTCTTCATCCTCGTCATTACTTTCTTCTTCTTTTTTCTTTTTCTCAAATCTAAGTTTTTAAAATTTTAAAATTTTATGTTTTCATGTTTCTTCATTTATGATAATTTAATATTTGATGGTTTGTTTGAGATTAAATCCACCTATCTTTTTACTCTTGATATAACCTTATTTTAGATAACAATTTTCAAAGACTTGTTGGTTGTTTGAGATGAAACTCGTTTGAAACCATTAGAAAATCTGAAATCCGCACAACCCACAAACGACATAATCCGTTGAAAATAATAGGCGAAAATGGGTCTATGATTACAATTCGTGGTTTGAGTCGATTCAGGATTTTGAGCTTGAACCCGTCCCAACCGACCCGTTGTCCACCTCTATGTGTATGTATGACTCAATAAAATTTTATAAGAAACCGGACCTAACCAAACCGCATTGAAATCATAAATAATGGATACGAAGATGTGAAGTCGATTGGCGTGACAATAAATGTTTTCCGGTACAATAAAAAGGGGTAGACATGCAAGATTATCACTCTAACACCCCCAAAGTAGTAATATGTGAAAAATAAATAATGTGAGTTAAAGTGAGAACATACATTTGAATAATGTGTGGTGAGATTTACATATTGAAGACGATTAAAATCGTCTCGTATTCTCCGACATGAGATACAAGGAACTGTCTATTCAAATTTGACGATGGATGATCGTTAGACAGTAAACATTAAAATTCAGACTTTCCAACGCTCTTATACATGATCATTAACTATTTTATAAATGTGTCTTTTGAATTGGACTCTTGTGTGATTAAACTTGCCTTTGACGACTTTGATCGACCTAAAACAATTATAATTTTTTTTTGTCTTGTATCACAATCAAAATAATCTGTCTTTATAATATTCTATATTATTCTCATTTCAATAAAATTTGTTGATATTTAACTAATTCTTAATTAAAATTTTAAACATTATAAAAAATGATAAAATTATTCATATCAAAACCCTGTTTTTGCACCTGCAAAAACCCTCACGCATCCATGTCAAACGCAGAATGAGAAATTCGAACCCTGTCAATTGGTGAACCAAGAAACAATGTTTAGTGTTAGAAATCTTCATAGACATTTCTCCTTCAAACCCTTTTCTTCATTCTTTCAACTTCAACCAAATCTCTTCAGGTATCAATAATCAACTCTAATTTCTGTGTTTTTTTTCCGTCTTTCCTTCAATTTTCTATTCAAATTCGTAAACCCTTTAACCCCCTTTTACTATTTTCCCTCAAAGTTTATACCTTTACTTCATTCACCCTGAATTTTCCATTAATTTTTTCAGCAACAACATTAGATTTATATTTGTTAGTTGTTGTTTTATGGTATTAAGAAACGTTGATTTGATTCAATGTTTTTGTGTTTTTGTTTCAGAAATGTTGTTGTGCCTTTAGGACAAGGAATAGAGCAAAGAAACATCGATGATGATAAAGTTGGTTTTTATTGTTATGTTAAACCGTTGAATCTTTTGAATGGATCGTTATATCGGACAATGTCTACGTCGAGAGGAAGGAGTATGCGAAGCAAGGTGGAAAGAAGAATGCAAAAAGAGTCCGGTAAGACGTTAAGGGAGATTCGAAGAGCTAAAAAATTGAAGAAGAAGCTTATGACCGAGGAGGAGCGGCTCGTTTACAATCTCAAAAGAGTAAACTATCTAACTTCCCTTTTAATAACTGTATTGAGTTCGACTACACTTCTGTAATCGATGTTTTTATTTGGTTAATGCTGTCGAATGGCTGATATACAATGCTATAATGTTATAGAATATGATATGAAGTGTGAACTGTGTGAAATGAAAATGTTCAAGTTGTGAATGTGATAACATAGCATGTATTTGAATTGTGATGTTTTATTTGCTTGGTTTTGTTGTGGCGTTCGTTATATGATTATTTGGTTACAACTGTTTGCAGGCGAAGAAGAAAATTGCATTGCTGCTACAAAAACTCAAGAAATATGACTTGCCAGAGCTGCCTCCTCCACGGCATGACCCGGAGCTCTTTACACCCGAACAGCTCCAGGCGTATAAAAAAATTGGATTCAAGAATAAGAATTATGTTCCGGTTGGTGTTCGTGGAGTCTTTGGAGGAGTTGTGCAAAATATGCATCTCCATTGGAAGTTTCATGAAACTGTCCAAGTTTGTTGTGACAACTTCCCCAAGGAAAAGATAAAAGAAATGGCTTCAATGCTTGCGAGATTGAGTGGCGGGATTGTGCTTAATGTACATAATGTGAAAACAATCATTATGTTCCGCGGTAGAAATTATCGGCAACCCAAAAACTTGATACCAATTAACACCCTTACAAAGAGGAAGGTAAGGTTACATCGCCATATTGGTCCTATTTATGGTATCTTTTATTCAAAGAACTTGAATACGTCCGAAGATAATGTATTTGCTACTGTTGTTGTTACACACAGGCTCTATTCAAGGCCAGATTTGAACAAGCTCTTGAATCTCAGAAGCTAAACATCAAGAAAATAGAACAGGAGCTACGGCGGATGGGAGTAAATCCTGAGGATCCAACTGCAATGGCCAGCATCCAAAGAGTTGCTTCCACATTCTTCAATGCCATTGACAAGAAAGAAGGAAGTCCTTATGTCTTCCGTGGAGATAAGCCGTCAGTTATAGAACCTAACGAAGGTTTGGAAGAGTCGGATCCTTCTGCTGATAGTGATCAGGAGGAGCTGGATCGTTTCATTGCTGATATAGAGGATGCTGCAGATAAAGAATATGAAGAAGAAGAGGCCAAAGAAAAGGAAGAGTTTGGCAGACTTAGATATTGGAATAGAGAAGAGTATGGTGGAAGATTCAGAAGATCAGATGATTCTAGAAATGACAACTATAATGGTGAGGTTAGAGGTTCAAGGGCTCGACAGCCAATACATCCCAAGTATCGGACAAACGATAGTGACGATGAAGAAAATGCTCATTTTGACAATGATGACGAGGACGACGATGATGATGATGAGTGGCATTCCGGTAGTATTGTAGATGATATTGATATTGAAAACAATTCTGATGGATCTGATGAAGCTAGAGGCAGGTTCAAGGAAAGTAGGGGGAGAGGAGAAAGGAAAAATAATGTCGGTATCGGCAAGGCTCAAGTTAATGGCGGTCCCAGCAGACACAGCGAAGCTAAATTTATGAGGAATATAGCCATACAAGATTCTGAATCAGAAGGTATGCTTAGTGAAGTTGAAAATGCAATGTGGGAGTCTGATGAAGAGGAAAACGACTCGGCAAATTTGAAACGAGCCAGTAGTGGTAACTACAAGAGCAGCAGCAGCGACGATGATGAACATAATGATCAATTAAAGAGCAACAAAAAGAATGGTGCGAGGGATCGTAATAGTTTTAACGCACCAAAGAGTGTGAGAGGCAGGCAAGAAGGAATTGGCAGAACTAAATCCGAGTCCACAGATATCTTCAGCGGTTCGGAAGACGGGATGTGGAAATCAGATGGTGAGGAAGACTCAAGAGAAGACTGAGATTGCTTAGGGGTGTGGAAAAAGTTCCATTCAAAGAAATGATTGGTTGGTCCAACCAAAGTCATCAATGTATGAAGCCTGATGTAGCCTGTTTATGAAGTTTAACTATTATTCTTTCCTCAGAGTAATGTTACTTGCTCAACCCCTCGAGATTCTGTTGTCCTACTAGTTATGAAGTTTAACATATTATCTAGGCATTGTGCTAAAGAAAATTGCTTTTTATAGTGATGAAATTGAATTTATCAATTGAGAGATTGAGAGAGATGTTGGATTTAGTACTACTTGGCCTATTTTGTGAAGTCACTCACAAGTTAGTCCTAGTCTTGTTAAATGCTTGCACCTCAACATGGGTGGTTTGTTGAAACTTATGATTGACTCAAGCAAATAGTATTTATATTTACACCAATAACATACACTACACCCTATGCACTGTTTACTAATACGGTGTACAGAATCGTACAGAGTGAACGGTGCGAAACAATATATGAACAATGTCATATGAACAGCGCATGCGTTTGCGTCTGTGAAGTGAACAGTGTTCGCGTATAGTATTGTTTACGCGTATAGTATTGTTTACTAATACGGTGTACAAAATCGTGTAGAGTGAACAGTGCGGAACAATATATGAACAATACATGTGTCTGAGAAGTGAACAGTGTTCGCGTATAGTACATGAACAATGATTTTTTAAGAGTGAATAAAGTTGGTTAATGAAATGTAAAAAATTGGTTAATGAAGCGATAAAGTTGGTTGATAAACGCTTAGATATTAAAAATAATTTTTAGTAGTAAATCAAAGTTGATTAATAAAAAGTAAAAAGTTGGTTAATAAAGTTATAAAATTGGTTAATAAAAGATTAGATATTAAAAATAATTTTGAGCAATCACCAAAGTTGATTAATACAACGTAAAATATTGGTTAATAAAATTATGAAATTGTTTAATCATACAATTTATTATTAGTACTTCTTAATAAAAAAATTAAAAATATATATTATTATAATATTTCACTGGTCATTATATTTGTGAACAGTAAATTACACTGTAGGTGTAAGAATTATTTAACATTACGAGTATAAGGCGTTGTCAATATCGTAGACCTCCAATAAATACTAACATCTTTCAATCTATTATAATATATTAAAACTAAGCTACGAATTATTGTTTTAACAATTCATTCTTTCATTTGTCATATCATTAAAAATATTAAGTGACATTTTTCAAAATACAACATTTCAAAAGTTCAATTATTTATTTAAGAAAAATATGTAATGTTTTATTTATAAAACTATATTAATAAAAATATATCTATTTTCATATTCCATGAATCATCTCCTAATATACATCTAACTAATATTTATGTATTTCTAATAATTTATTTTCTTTGGGGACAAATTATTTATCAACCATACATCAAAACTCAAATTATTAAACTTTGATTCTATTTTCTATTATGCACACTTATTCACCACAAAACACTAAATTGATTAATTTTTAAATAAATCAATATAAAAACTATTATAAAGATACAATTTACTTTGTTTTTCCTATACTAATTATTATGTTTTTTTCCCGTATCTACGTGTTTATCTATATTTCTCAAGAAAATATACATTATATAATAATTTACTGGCAAAATAACCCTTTTGGTCCCTTAACATTAGCTCGGGGTCCACTTTGGTCCCTTATCTTTAAAAAGTGTCAAATTGGTCATTTAACTTTTAAAAATGTGTCACGTTTATCCTTCCGTTATTTGCTGTTAGTTTGATTTTGAAAAAATTGTCATGTGGAGTGTTGAGGTGGAATGGAGTGTTGAGGTGGAAGTCAGGTGGAAGTGAAGAGGGAAACGAAGAAGAGGAAAAGGCAAAACGAAAAAGAAGAAGAAGAAAAGACAAGAAGAAAAAGAAGAAGAAAACGAAGAAAACGAAGAAAAACGAAGAAGCAGAAAACGAAGAACGATTGAAGAAAAACGAAGAAGCAGAAAACGAAGAACGATTGAAGAAGAACGAAGAACGAAGAAGAAAAAGAAGAAGAAAACGAAAACGATTGAAGAGAAGCAGACGATTCAAGAGCCAATCTCGAAAGGTTAGTTCATCTCTCTGATTTAGGGTTTTTCGGGTGAGGTTTAGACAGATTTAGGGTTTATATAAATTTGTTAGTTTAAACGTTAATTACTTACATGGTATGCCCAGGTATCATGGAAGAATACATTACTCTGAATATTCATCATAGTGGTGAGTTCACAAACGAAGGTCGTAGTGTATATGAGAATGGAGTAGTAGATGATTTGAGGGTAGATGTCGACAGATGGAGTTATTTTGAGCTAGTTGGTGTATTGAAAGACCTAGGTTACAGGGAGTTTGAAACAATATTTTACAAGGACCCTCAATTTGGGATGAACCGACTTGTTGATGACAATGGTGCTTTAGAAATTGCAGATTTGTATAGGGTACACCAAACTGTTGATATTTATATTGAACACACATTGTCTCAACCTGAATATTGTGATGCTGTTGTTGATAAAGTTGATGAGGACCCTGCTGAAGTTGTAGGTGAGGTAGAGGAGTTACTTAGTAAACTACATGAAGAAGTTGTGCAAGGTGAAGTTAGGGTTGATGGAGCCAATGTTAGGGTTGATGAAGCCACTGCTGTTAGAGTTGATGAGGTTCCTGCAGTGGATGATCATACCGTTGGAGTTGAAAAAGGGAGTGTTGAAAGGGAACAAGGTAATGTTGGAGTTGATGAGGTTCCTGCAGTGTATGATGACTTAAGTCTATCATCTGATGATAGTGAAGATGGGGACTACAATTATGATAGCGCAGAAGATGTTGCATTTGAGGATGAGTCTGATGGGTTTGATGAGATTAGGGAGGATGAACTTGATGCCCTACTTGGTCTTGAAAATGATGTTATATGTATTATGAAATATGCATCCAAGTGTCTCAGACTGTTATATGTATTCTGAAATATGCATCCAAGTGTCTCAGACTGTTATATATGCTGCTGTTATTATATGTGATATAATTAGCTATATGTGCTGCTGCTATTATATGTGATATAGTTATAGTTAGCTATATGTGATATAGTTAGCTATATGTGTTGCTGCTATTATATGTGTTGCTGCTATATGTGCTATATATGTTGATATATGTGCTATATATGTACCTTTAAATTTGGATTTGTGCTATATATGTTGATATATGTGCTATATATGTTGATATATGTGTTATATATGTTGTTATTTCCTTTTAATTAAATGTGTTGCTGTCATTTGGTGTATCTATTCAATTTATGTGTTGCTGTTGTGAATAAGGTTATAATAAGGTTGGTATTGTAACAGTTGTTATTTATTTTCTACATGTCCTATGAAGTTTTTATTGTAACAGTCTGATATATGTGTTGATATATGGTGGCTGATATATGTGCTGATATATGTAGCTTTGGATGTGCTGCTGTTATATGTGTTGTTGCTGTGTCCATTATTAGTTAGCTATATATGTGCTGCTGTTAACATGTGCTGCTACTGTTATATGTGCAGGGTCTGCTACCTACTATGGATGAGTTATTGCCAAGGGTGGAGCACAGGTTTTGTGTTAGGCACCTTTACAACAATTTTAGAAAAAAGTTTCCTGGAAAGATGTTGAAGGACATAATATGGAAGGCTGCCAAATCAACATACCCACAGTCATGGGAAAAAGAGATGAAGGGAATGAGGGCCATCAATGAAGAAGCATTTAAACATATGATGAAGACCCCACCAAGGTTTTGGAGTAGATCTTACTTTAGGACTGAAAACAAATGTGATGCTGTTCTCAAATACATGTCTGAGTCCTTCAATATTGTCATTCTTGAAGCAAGGGCAAAACCTTTAATCACAATGTTAGAAGACATCAGAACATACCTGATGGAGAGATGGGCAAATAACAGAATGAGATTTGGAACTTTGGACGAGAATGATATTTTGCCCAATATTAGAAAGAAACTTGATGTCACAAGCACATACACCAACAACTGGCTAGTAAGGTATGTCACAGTATGTGAGTAATGATATTTTGTTTATGATATTTTGTTTATGACATACATGTGACTAATGTACTGTTGTTTGTTTAATCATTTAGGATGGCTGATGAACATATATTTGAAGTAAGGCACATAGAAAATCAAGCTGACAAATTTGTTGTGAACCTGAAAGATCATATATGTTCATGCAGAAGATGGGAACTCACAGGGCTCCCATGTGTTCATGCTCATTCTGCTATGAAGAGTAGGAATTTCAAGGTTGATACTTACATTCCAGACTATTATAGGGTTTCAAGGTACAAGGCAGTTTATAAGCATGTGATCTACCCTGTTAATGGAGCAAACTTGTGGGTTAAGACATAATACCCGGATGTGAAACCACCCAAGTTCAGGAAGATGCCAGGTAGACCTAAAAAGAGAAGGAACCTAGAACAAGGTGAAATTGACGGGTGTCGCTACTCGAAAAATGCATCGTGCAACGACGGGGAGGCGAAAAGAAAGGACAAAAGAGTCGCCACCGAACTTTATTTATCCCATGAGGGGAAAGGAAAATATCGAGAAAACCTTAGGAAAGAAAAGGATAAGATGGTCTCGCAACCAAGAACGGGTTCGGAAGCCGGTTATGCGAGGGGAAGGTATTAGCACCCCTCGCATCCATCGTACTCGATGGGAACCATTTGTTTGTCGACGTGTGAATTTATTTGCTTAAACATTATGCTATAAGAAGTGCTCCACAGGGTAAAAGAAGGGTTAGAAACATGAAAGTTAGGAGGAAAGAGAGAACGGGGAAAAAGAGAAAGAACAGACTCGGTAGGACTTCGCAGTCCTATGCCTACGTATTCTCAATAGATGTGAGAAAGTCAGAGTCGACGTAGTTCGGGGAACTACAGATATGGGGGAATGTGCTCGGCAAGGATTGTGACCCTTGTGCCTACGTATCTTTACTTAAAAGAAGTAAAGAATCAGAGCAACCGTAGTTCG